GGTCGTCAGTGCCGCCGCGTTCCACCGCTAAACTAATACAATCCTGCAGGGATGGATCTTCTGTACAAACAGGACCTTTTCAACATCTCCGGGGCCTCTTTGGCAATATTGTACATTTGTAACGCCAGTGCAGCAACGATGCATCAGCCTCCGGAGGAAGAAGTGACGCGTTCACGGCTGCAGCCAAATGTAGAAACAATACGTGTGGCCTCATATTCGGCTCCTTTGGGGTTTTTCCCACTTCTCACCCATGGAAGCTTCGGTTTCTCCATGATGGTCGACGCTAAACACGTTTACACAAGCAGAATGCCACGACCCGGAACTCTTACTCAGAGCCGCCGAAGGACAAACCGTTTCTACACTTTTACAAGGTTTTTGAGGTTGAATTAGCTTTTTATTCATATAAATCTGTACTTTGAACTTTGAACTGTCAACAACGATCTAAAACCAGTTGTCTGTAACTCAACACACTCCCTTATTTGTGTTTATGAAACCTAACAAATACTTCAGCCTTTACGTTTCTGTAAAGGTTTACTGTTTACAGTCGCTGCTGACATTAATTGACTTTAAATCCTTTCGGGATATTATATTCGGGGTTGATGCACCAATCGAACATTTCTGCAGCTTTTCAGCTCTACTTGTAGAAGCCATCTAGATTCCGGCAGGCCCAGTTTATTTGCCCAAAAACCTTTGAATTGCTGAACCAATAGGGTGGTAGAACGCTGTAAACTTCCCCAGCCGGCTGAGACATTTCAGCTGCTCTTTTGAATCTTTTACTCTTCTGAAGAAAATCCCCCGCTGCCCTCTGGGTGTTTTTCCAGTGAAGCACCAAAAAACAGATCACTGGAACAGATGGTCAAAATCTGAAATCAATCATTAATTGTCACTTGGCTCCTCTTTTGTGTTATTTCCAACATCATGTTGTCGAATCTTCGTCAAAAGTAAAGATAAATGAAAGGAATTTCCCCCCCAGCTCCGAACCCTCTTGTTTATCTCAAGTTTTGCCCGCCAGCGGGTATATTTTATTAATAATGAGCACAGCTTGGAGACTTTTTTGTCAGGTTTTGGAGCAGCGCGGAGCACATCGGGGCTGCTCTTCTTAAAGCTGAGACATTTTGCTCCTCCTGCTGCTCTCTCAGGGCCACATGCACACCGGACGCAGACGATGGGAGGAAAAAAGTCCTTTCACTCTCTCACACGAAAAGCAATACTCCTTGAGTTTTGAGGATTGAGCTGATAGCTGTCACCAAACCAGTGACCAATGATAACCTTCCGCCTTCTAAAGTGGTTCCAGTGAGCTCGATGTCACAAATGTGGGTCGTCATAGCATCCGTGTGATGATCACCGGACGACGTACCCTTCTTAAAGTTCGCGGCGGCGTTCAGCAGTCGGTTAAACATGCACCTTTTAGGAAGTTAAGATCGAAGTTTGCAGATGCGGAAGCCAGAGAATAAGCGAGCGGACAGAAGCCAAGGGGAGCGACATCGAAGGATGAGGTGGCGATAACAAAGTGCTTCTCCTGATTAAACTGTGACTCCTCTCATTCGGCTCACTCAGCGCTGTTTGCTCGGTTCAGCTCGACCTTCGTAAACTAGAAATCACATGATCTGAATCTCTTCATATGTAAATAGACCTGATTAAGTCAGCTAGTAAATACCGATAAACCCTTTGTTTCAGATTGTGCCGACCTTAAGAAAGTTCTCCCACTTCCTTTTAATTTTGAATCTTCTGATTTTTTAAAACTAAAACCATTTTTTTGTATCAGCTTCAAACCAATTACTAAGCAACAAGAAAGATGATATTATTCATTCGTTCAGTCGTTTGTCTCTGGACAAACTATCCGCCTTCCAATGGCCTGAAAATATACGGAAGTTCTCCGAAGCAACTGTCTATGCTTGTGGCTTGTTTTAAAGGGGCTGATGAGGATTTTCCCCTGTTCATCCTTTGGTATTTGGATCCAGTCAATCCGTGAGATCGACCGGCGCGGCGTCAGCTTTTTCACTGTGGTCCGGTCCAGAAGGTAAAGCCCTGAACTCCTTCAGAAGAAATGCAAGGACATCACCAGGGGATCAAATGCAACACATTCGTTCTGAAGTGGCTCGGGGAGAAATTGACGCCTTTTCCTCATAATTGAAATGTCGTCGTGGTGGAGACCTGTCGCAGGAGTCAAAGCCTTTCGCTAATTGATTGCATATTGGATTACTCTCAAGCAGTTGTGTATAAATCATACTTTATAATTAGGTTGGCATTATCCAAACTGCAGAGTCAATCGAATGTCAAGTCGCACGCTAATATAATTGGAATATATCAATATAGCAGCGTAAATATATCACTGCTCCTTATACTGATTTAAACAACATATAATCTCTATTTTAGTGACATTAGGACCCTCAGATGACTCATTTATTTGAATTTTTCTTCGTTTTGATGCTGATGCTTTTAAGAAGAACATTTTCCTCATTTACGATTCTCATGAATGCACGCCAACTCGACGCGCACGATGATGGCAGTAATCATCATTTATACAGTCATTTGAAGGTTTGCTTTACATTATTTAAATTGTTGCATATTATGCCTTTATATATACATGTTGGAAGTTGTCTTGGTCAAACATTTGGAATGATTAATGGACAGCCTGACACGGTTAAACCAAAAAACACATGCGGTAACCTCTTGGGAAGAATAAAGGCCGTGAGATTTGTCCTACAAATACACACCAGGATTGAGAACACTGTGAGTTTGGGAATAACACTTCTGACTGACTGTGAATAATTACCGCGTTTTGAAAAAGAGAGAGAAGAACGTGACATTTTCCTCACCTCTTCTTAGCCGCTGATGTGTCTGAAGATGTATGAAGATCTTTCCTGCATGACGCACCGATGAAGGCGGGAACATGTATCCAACATGCAGCGCGCTATGTTGGAGGACAAAGGTGCTTGTTTCATTCTGCTGGATTTTCATCACACTGTCAGCTGCTGTACAACAGGATCGGATTGGAGTTTCAGGCATAATGAGGTGGATTTTGACGTGATCCTGCAGCTCGGGTGTCGGCTCGAGGAACCTTCTTCCCTTACAAGAAAGAACCGAATCAGCATCTGATTCTTTTCTTCGTGCAAAATGTCCAAACTGCTTTTGGTGCAAGGCATGTTTTAATACATAAAACAAGTGTTTTTTCAGATGCCGAATGAAAAAAAAAATGCATTTGGGTCAAACTGATGAGGAAAAAAGGGAGAACAAAACAGAAGCCTTTGCACACTGTTATTCACTGAGGCTTCACTGAACACACTGACCCACTTGACACACTGCATACGGAGATGTCGTAATCGCAGTGCCACACAGGCCCGAATTTACACATTATGCAAGCGCCTTCCATCTGCCCTGCAACCAGTCATTATGGGCTGCTGTGTTCCCGAAACCTTGTGAAGATCAGCAGCTCTGCACATGCAGACGCATTTGCTCCTGGCCGATCCCGACACTCGCACATTTAGCCTGCGTCTGCAGGAAAATAGACAATAACACATCTACAATGACATGGTGACTTTGTGCTTGGCGCGTGTTTGTGGGTGTTACATGGATGATTGCTTTTTCTTTTTTTCCCTAATATGTTGTTTTGATGTTGCTTTATTGATGCACCGCACTTTCCAGATCTTTACATTACTGCAAAAAGATGAAGTCTGCATGCAGAATGTCTTGTTAAAGAGGACAAACTGGAGGATAATGTCAAGCAAACAAACCCGCAAACACACACAATTCGGTGCGTGAATTACACATCCAAAGCCCCGGTGTCTGACCCAGATTATCTTTTCTTTCACACTGCAGAATCCCGCTTCTTCAAAGTGAGTTGTTTGAGCCCCCCGTCGTTCCCTTTCTCCGCCTCCATCCATCTCAGACTTCACGACGTTTGCTTTTCTATTTGTGTGTTGTTAAGCTGCAGGCCTTTGTGCGATAACAGGAGCGTACAGCGCGAGCGGCACAGTTGTGTGTGTGTGTGTGTGTGTGTGTGCGTGTTGACTCACAGGCAGAACGCACACGCGGCCACACAAACAAACGTTCAGAGCACGCGGGCGCGCCGTGCGGTTCAGATAAGGTGGGACGGGGTCGCCTGGTCTGGCAGGCCGGCGCTTTTTTTTGGGATCAAGCTGTAGCTCTTATCTCTCTGGCCTGATGGTCTCCTCTCCTCTACTCCCTGCCATCAGTCTCTCTCTCTCACACACACACACACACACACACACACACACACACACACACACACACACACACACACACACACACACACTGATGGCCCTAACTACCTTACTCTTTGCCATCTGACTAAAGCTGAAGCAGCTAAACTGCAGCGCAGGCTTTGAATCTGTGCTTTGGTTTGGGAAAGGAGAGACGTGGGAGTCGAATGTTGGAAGAGAAATGTGTAAGTACATACCTGCGCACACACACACACTCTCACACGCACACACACACCGATTGTAGCACACTAGCATGCCTGACATGAGCACAAATGGATCTGGGTACATTTGTTCTTTCTTCAAATGTTGTACTGACCTTCTCCTGCTGCGCTGCAGTAAATAGAAAGAAAAAACACACCTGAAACAACGAATGAAATTACTTTTTTTCCTCATGTTGTCGATCTGATTTTACTGTTGATTAATGTTTTGAATGATTACTAAAAATCCTCGTTACAGTACATAATAAAAGAGGAAAAATAGTGAGCAGAAAAGTAGGATTTCGGCCAAATAGATTTGAATGCAAAATACTTGTGTATCATTGTGTCTTTTCAAAAATATGTATATAGTAAATCACATGCCTCAGGCATGAGATCAGGCCGCAAATACACAACTAAAGTTTTTTGTTCCTGGAGCCATTGTGCGTCGCGGCTGCTGTGATTGTAGCGCAAAATGCGCAAAATCTCACATTTGACCTTAAATCTCAAGTAAAAAAACAACAACACTGAATTCCAAACGTGTATTGAATATTTAAAATATATATAATACTGAAAATTCCCATTAAGATTCCAGACAACATTTTTATTATGAGAAAAGGCCGGACAATCTCATCAAGTGCAAACCACCCCTTTACCTCCAAATGCTGTTTATCATGACGTTAAACCAGCAGGATGAGAAATAAAGCTGTTTCTCTGTCACTGGAGAACCTCCCTGTCCGTCCATGAAGTGCGTGTTGGTTTTGCGGAGCCTTCAGGAAACGATGTAAATGTTGTGAAAACGTGCAGCCGATGAACATTCGCCCCGCAGATAAGGAAACAAATACAGACAGCGCTTGCAGACTTTTATCTGTTAAAAGCTCATACACTGATTACAGCTGGTCAAACAAACAGATTCACATTTTTTTTTCCCGCTCGGCGTCCGTGCACAGAAGCGCGTCGGCCTCCGTTCTGTAGGACGGTCGCGTTTGCTCCCGGTGGTGGGGGGGCGTCGGGGGTCAAATAACCCAAACTGTTCAGCAGTGCGATGTAGAAAAGTGCCCTCGGGGGGGCCTGGATGGCAGCACGGGCAAAGAACCACAGAAAGGAAGAAAGGAGCTCCTGGCAGAAACCTTTCACTCAGATGAATTTGAAATGTTTGAATGTTGTTTTGCGAGGACTTGAACAGACACTAAAACATCTACTTTAATAAAAAAATAATTCTGTGTTGATTTTTTTTTTCGCGCTTCGGAGCCCCTTTTTAAAAGAATCACCGTGAAAAGCAAGAAAATTGGTAGATTCCTTAGAGGCAAGGCCTCCTCTCCCTTTCCTTTCAGGGATTTTCATTGAAAAATGACATCTGGAAAGAGGCAGCTTCTCTCACATGAATGATAATTGAATAAAAGTAAGAGATGCTTGTAAAAAATAAAAAATCTGTCTGTAAAGACTTGTGACATCAATAGACAAATTTACATGGATTTACAACATTTGCATTTGGTAAATTTGGACATGTCATTGTGTATTTTCACAAGTGGATGAATAATATTCTGAAAATATGATTTTTTTACTTCCAGGCAGGTCGAACGGGGGGCGACCTGCTCGTTGGACGGGAAACTTTGTGTCTCCAACCAGTTTAGTCCAGATTGTGTGTGAGAAGACCAACGGATAAATACAGTATATATCACTGCAAACCAGACTGATGTAGTCCAGCATGCACATTTGGACAAGGTGCTTGTAAAAAGGAGTCACAATGTCATTCAAGCAATCAACCAAAACAACTGTAATTTTGAAAAATCTTTACCAGAATTGCAACCATTGTTATACTTTTTGTCACCAGAAACATTTGGCTGTAAATTCATACAGAGATTCAAAAGCTTCCAATTCATAGGATACAACATAGAGACATTTATTTGTTTCAATACCCAAACCATGTGGTCCCCCCTCCCATCGGGAAAAAGCAGCATTGTTCGTCGATTAACAAAAATGGAAAACAAAAAGGAACAAAACAATGTCAGATTAGCTCCCTCGGTGCTCCTTCCTTTGTCCTTCTGTCCATTTACTCAACCGTCCAACCGACCACACGTGAGTGGGTGCACACGTGTGTGTGTGTGTGTGTGTGTGTGTGAAAATATAATTTGTACCAAAATCAAAAATCTGGATTGGTTAAAAACAAAGTGTCAAAGTGTCAAAGTCACCAACTGCAGAAGAGGTTTCCTGTTTCTTCTTCTTCTCTCCTCCTTCCCTCGCTGCACTTCAGCACACAAACACACGCACACACACACGCACACACACACACGCACACATACGTGCACCCAGCTGGGGAGTTTTTTGTCGTTGGAAACCACAGAGACAGACCGGTGATTCTTGGCTATGTGTTGACAGGTTTTCAGAGGCCGTGAGAGGAGGGCGGGGGGCTCGGGGGGGTCGCGGGGGGTCGGCGGGGTCAGGGTCCCCCCACCTCGTGTGGCGATACGTTGATGACGTTCATCTGTTAGAATTGAGGCAGAACCTAAATGTGACTTAATACAAAACAGAGAGAGAAGAAAAAAAAAGCCAAACTAAAGAAAAAACGGTTACATCATTGCCGCGTTCTTCAACTTTGTACTTGGTCACTTTTTGAATTCCATATATTTATATCCATATATATTTATATATATATATTTATATATTCTTTTTACAATGAAAAACACCATGGAGTAGACAGACTATTTGGTTTCTTTTTGCCTAAGTAGAAGTGTTTCTCTTGTAAATAAATGCATGTAATCTTTTTTTGTGTTTTTTTTTTCTCATTTGCTTACACTGTCCGTCGGCGTAAAGAGTTTGTATCCAAACAGGATCCCATCAGCACATTTTAAGAATCTCCAAGATATTACATTTCTTTTCATTTTTTTTTTTCTTTAATCCCATATTTCCATTGGTGTGTCCCACAGGTGCCGGGCACCGCAGTCTGTCGAACCCCATCCGTCCCCGAATGTCCCACGCGGTGTCCTCTCACTGGCTGCTTTGGCCCAGGTCTCTGTGTGATAGGCTGGCGCCGAGCAACTGGGTCTGCGTGGGTCCGTTACAGCTCGGCGCCCCGGCACCTCCTCCGCTGAGGTTCAGGAAGCAAACAGTTTCTCTGGCCGCCGCTCCGCCGATCCCGCCGCCGCCGCCGCCGCCGCCACCGCCGCCGCCGCCGATCCCGCCTTCGTCCTGCTTCCTGCGGGCCAACGCCCTGAGCTGCTCCTGCGCCTCCTCCAGCAGCAGCGCCACCTCGTCCCGCTGCTGACCAATGGCGGGGGAGCAGGAGGTGGAAGACAACGCGGCGTGCGCCTCCCTGTCCCTCCTCGCCTCCCCGCAGGGCGCGGCGGCTCCGCCGGGGACCGGCATCGTTGTTGTGACGCCGGTTTGCATACACGACGCCTCGTTGTCATGGTGACACTGTACGGAGGGGATGATGGGGATGGAGCAGGAGCGGAACGGACCGGGCGGGGACTGGCCGCGGCGGCCCCCGGGCCTTCGCGGGCCGCGGGCGTTGGGGTTCGGGTGGCCGCGCTCGGACGGGCCCGGCCGCACCGCCACTTGGTCGCTCCACGGAGACACCGTCGCCGTGGAAACGGGAGTTTGCATATGCAGGAAGGCGTCTCGTCTGGGGTCGTCACGGCGCTCGTCCACGTGCATTTTGCACCTGGAGAAGATGGCGAAGGCCCACAGAGGGGAGGAGAAAGGAGCAGAGGTTATTTAAGGGAGGACTCCTCACTTCGCCTCGAGAAGTCGTGGTGGCGTTTTGAACTGAATCGTCTCTTCACGCTGAGAGGACGGCTCTCTGGCCTTCGCCATCTCACAGGCTGACTGAGGATGCTGAGAGGCATAGAAGACTACGAGCCGGGACGTCTTTCTTTCATCTCTTTATATCAAAGTTCACGCACACACACACACACACAAAAAAAGTATCTAAAAACGTTCACTCGCTTGTATAAAGCGAAGAGGTAACAGCGAGTTCACCTCTTTATCTTATTGATTTAATGACTTAAACTATGTTGAAAATAAGTGGTTTGAAAGTTCAAGAAGTTCAGTTTTTGGTCAAGGACCAATGAGTTAATCAGGCATCACGAGGGGTAAAGTCTACTGTTTTTTTTTCTTTTCTCATTTATCAGCTTCCAGTTCCATTTACTTTACTTTAAAACTCCTTTTGAATAACCATCGCATAACAACTGCATAACTGCACTGATTCAAATCTCCTTTCTGTATTTGCTTTAGTTTAAGGTGAAGCTCAAGCTGTACGTGCGCTGTCCTCCTCCGTCCTCTCCCCCCAAAGAGCACGTCAGCACGTAGCCTTCATAACTTCAGCTTCACCCTTCCGGTCTCGCAGATGTTTATCAAATTGTGTTATCAACCCGTCCCCCCCATTGTGCATCCTGCCCGTTTACTCTGTCAGTCCCAGTTAGTCTCCGGGCTGTTTGTTAGCCCTCCTTATGCTCAACCTCATGAATTAAACTGCGTGTGCTTGCTTGTTCACCATTAATGACATTTACATGACACGAGGAACTAGGTAACAGGGAGAAAATCAGAGCTTACACGTGTTTACATGCAGCTTTACAGTAATTAGAACACAGACGTTACTCAAAGCCACGTTTTTCCTGACTGGGTTTCTGGATGCGCTGATGCAACGTCTGATGAAAAGGCACCATCTCTTGGAATGACGTAGGAATAACTACATGCATGTCCACTACCTGCTTCGGCACTGGATGCATTGCTGCCCCAATGCCTGTTAAACCCCGATACTCCTCTCAGTCTCTGCTAATGTCTCAGTCACTGTCCTTCCCAGGGGGCCTCAGTCCTTAAGCTCTGCGGATACAAAAAGCCTCTCTGGCGCTGATAGGACGGGGGTGGGGGGGGTTCTGTGCAACATTTCGGCAAGTCTCTGTTCAGTATCTGGGTCTTGACCCAACTTCACGGAGCTCAGCCACAGCCGCTCCTCGGTCCTAAGACCCGACGCTCTTCTGTGCTGTCGGGCTCTGAATCCAGCAGCAGCTCTGTGCAATAATTCATAATCCGCCTTTGCTGCCGAGAGAAAAGTCAAACTTGGGAGTCGCCTCTTCTTTGTAACCCCACATCACACGGTCGCCGCGCTCTCCATCAAAGCCCACAGAAATAGTGTCGGGGGGGACAAGGTGCCTGTTCAAACTCAAAAAGAAATCACGCCGGCCTTTTATCGTATTTATCTGAGGAATGAAAAAAAACAAAAAAACAGTGGAGGTTTTAGGGAGGCCGGCAGAGAGTATCCCCGAGAGCGATAAGAGAGGGTGATGCTAGGGCGCTAATTCCCGAGATAACATTCACAGACTTTTGATGTGTTGAAACACAATCAGATTGCGGGAATCTGTGAAGCGGAGTTGGAATATAGACCCTGCAGCGACGAGGGAGCAGCTGGAGGGGTTCTACAGAGAGATTGTGTGCCAGTGCGGTGAGATAAGTGGCTTTTATCTGTTACAGTAGCTCATGATATGCACAAGTGTTAACCGTCACTTTCATTAATCCATTTCCCCCGATATGTCATTTCTCATTGTATTGAGAAATCTGTATGTAACGTAATGCAGCGACCTTATAAAACTTGGAATATGTTCCTGCTTCAAACGTGCATGCAGATGCGCACGCCTACACACCCACACTGACTTCTCAGCTGAAGGTTGAGAACATAGCGTATCGCAAAACACACTGAGCACGGGAGAGGAAAAAACAGCATGTTGCTGCATACAATTCTGCAAACAGCAGAAATAAATATAGAACTACGTGCAGTATCTCCATCAGCCATTTGGGAGACAGCTTTATCTTCAAATGGAAGTAACGACGCGGGACATTCTGTCTCGCTGTCAGCCATTTTGCTGCGATAACACAGGGCTTCTCTAACAGGCATGGAATAAAATGGGCAGCCTTTCGTCTAAAGCCTTTTCTAACTGTCATGTACTATCTGCACACTCCTCTATCACATCCTTACTGCTGCCCCTGCTTCTTTCCTCCTTTTACTACGTTTTTGTCAAAATGGATTCCAACCGGTTGTCTCCGTCCCTGCATCCCTCCCTCTATGCGTCCATGGCCAAATGTATCCATGGCAACTCAGACTACCGTACCACGGGAGCGGGAGCGCGTCGCCGGTCTGTCCGCTCTTCTGTGCGTGAGGGCGCCGGCTCTGATTTTTCGGAGCGGCGGTGTGCACAGATGCTCCAGGTGAAGAGGGCAACATTTAAAGAAGCTTTTGGGCTGCAAAGGAGGCAATTAGGACAAACCACATGACACTTTTAGGACTTTTTACATGTGACCAGGGGGACGCTCGGGGTGACCATGTTACAAATGGGTCGACCGGGAGACTGTTTGGGCCAATCAAAGGTGACCTCAGACGACCCGAGGACACTAATGGCCGGGCTACAAAGACTGTGCAACATTTGTGGGCTGTTTGTGGACGAACATCGAGGCCACATGTGCTCAACAGAGGGGCACCAGAGTGGCAAGCGGTGTTGAGAACGTGCACACATCTAGTTAAATGAACATTACAACTAAATACAACATGGGGGATTGAAGCACCAAGGCGTGCTTCCCCGGGTGCATGCCCCCTTCATTCGCAACATGCGTGCTATCTGTTTGTTTGGATGTTCGAGTGTGTTTTCTCCCCCCGGCCACGTCTGTCTGCTCTCTCTCTCTCTCTCTCTCTCTCTATTAGTTTGCATGTAGGTCATATGGAGCTTTGTCATGAGCCAGGACTGCTGGGACCTGAACGCCTGAAGGGAGGATTGCCAGTCCAGGTGGGCAAAGCACTCGTGACCCAACGAAAAACGAGTCAAATCACCCAGCCGTCCACAGGCGATGCCTTTCTTACTAATCACTTGACTGATCGTTTGCGTTTCCCTCTGTGCACACGCTGCGTTGCCTGAGAAGTCTACTTTGTTCAATTTAAACGCCAGGATTCGATCGTCGGTTACCCGCGAAGCCGTCGCATTAATGGTTCCGAACCAGGCACAGGCTTGAAAAGACGTCAGAGAGGGAAAGAGAGAAGGAAGAAAGTGGAGCCTTTACCGCTTCCTTAAAAAACCCTCCACCGGGCGAAGCATTTCCTCTGCAGGCCCAAACATATCGCGACCTTGCTTTTATCTTTGCTCAGCAGATTGGAAAACTAAGAAGGGATCTGGAAGGCTAAAGGGGGTATAAAAAAAAGGACACCGTCTTTTTGGGAAATGAATATCACAGAATTGGCTTAGAAATACACGCTCCTGAAATGAAATCCCAAAGCTTTGTCCACAGGAAGTCTGTGTTTTTCAGTTAGTGGCTTTCGTTGAAATGACTCAGCACACGGAGGATACAGCAAAGAAGCAAAGTGATAGAAAAAGAGGAGAAAGTGAGGATAAAACCTTAAAATACTCCACGGTTCTTTCTCTCAACTTGTCAAATACTGAAGCTTACTCTGTGGCCCAGCGCTTCAGACTATGACGCTCGACTGCAGGTTTTTTTCTGGGACAGTTTCCGCAAATCCAGTGGTGTGGTCTACGTGATACGCAGGTATACGCCGTATACCCACCAACAAAGTACCCTGCAGACAGAACGTTCGAGCTTTCATTCACAAATCGGCCTGGTCTGAAGGCAGTAGCAGCCGATCACGTGCCATCAAGTGCCATGTAGTCACATAAGGGTACTAATATGTGGGCCCTCTTTTACAAATAGCAAGCTGTGGTCTTGGTAAGTTCCTCATACTGTAAGAACAGGGGTTTGCTTTGGAATGTGTCAATCACGCTGCACCTGTATCCACCTCCCTGCGCCCCGCCCCCTTGCCCTCGCGAACCAATCGCAGCCTGGCCTGCTGACGCCGAGGTCTTTTGACACTAAACAAACGCAATGTGGGATTAAGCTACTGCAGCCCGGGGTTTGCTCGTCTGTCTCGTGACGATGTGTCGTGAGCGTGTTCTCCTCACCCTCTTGGTGCTTCAGCATCAGATGAGTCCACTTCCTGCAGGTGTTGGTAGGCGTGGCCCGAATACTTGGATCCTCCAATTGGGTTCAGCTTTCCCCTGGATATAGGCGGGGTCATGCGTGGAGCCGACCAATGGGCCACCCGGGTTCTCTGATCCGGGCTGTGGGACAAGGAGCTCACATGTGGATGTTGGTATTGGTGTAAAACGGAGCGATAGAGATTATTTTGGAGTCTATTTTGGATTGGCTTCATTATCTTGGACCCATGAGGACCTCTGATCAACACTTAAAAAGGGGGAATTTGTTGCTCTTAGAAAAGTCAACTGTATTACAATAATTAGAAAACGTGGAGTTTCATATATTATTTCTCAAAAGAACGTTTGAACTTTTGGTGCATTTTGACTTTATACACTGAAGTGGTTCCCGCCTCTCCGGGCCCTCATTCATATTTAACTCTGCTCTTTTACAGGGATAAATCTGCCTCTAAAAATGGGCTTTTTAGGCACAACAACAGGAAGCTTTCAGTCAGGCACCTAATAGTGTTGGCAGAGTTCTGTGTAAAGGCATTCAGTCAGGACATTTCCAAAATAGAGAATTCATCCAGGCCAGTTTCTTTTTGGCTATTTTGGACTGTGGCTTCCAGACACACTGTGCTATCCGGACAACAGTAAGTCTGTTCCTGAGCTCATGCAATTGCACACTGTTGTCGCACACAAAGGAGGTTATTTGCGGTAAGAGGAGTAGACTTCCTGCCAAGTGATCTTGTGATCACCTCAGAGCAAAGAAACCTCTTGCAGGTGTTAAAGCCAAAAGGTTAGAGAAGTGGACTTTGTTGTTTGAGGGTTTGTCTGAATGTGTTTCTAGTTTTCTCCCCTCAAAAAAGGAAAAGAAAAACCTGCCGGGATCCTCTTGAGAAAAAGGCTGATTAAAGCCCAGCTGCTGTGGTGGAGTTGCTCAGCAGTTAGAGGGCGAAACCCACCGGTGTGTTGAGAGGCTCTTAGGTGTGAATGAGCAGCGATGAAAGAGAGAGAAAAAGGCTAAAAAGCCAAAAATCGCTTTCTCACACATGAAATACCTCCCAAAACCACAGTTTAGGAATACAAACCCTGAATAGCAATGAGGTACAAACCCGCTCGGTGGGGGAGCTCCCGTCTCTTTGGCTCTGCTCTGACATTCATTGCAATGGTGTGGGTTCCAGCTCCGTGTGTGTGCGTATGTGTGTGTGTGTGTTGCAACCCGAGGAGCATGCCGGCGCTCCCTCACACACACACACACAAGAGATCTCACAGGGATCTACACTCTCTGTCCCGTCCCCTCATTGTTTGTGAGGGTTATAGATATGCTTATTAACACGTCCACAGCTTTTAATTAGAACGACTATCGGCCTTTCCGTGAATCAGCAATTAACTTGGGCTGCACTGTAATGCGGATGATTCAATTTCTCTCTCGGCTGCGTCCCTGCTGATTACAGGAGAGGACAGTGAGGTGGGAGCTGTTTGCGTCGTGCCGTTTCCTGCAGCGGTCGCTGGGGGGAGCCTGCGTGTGTGTGTGTGTGTGTACCTCGGATGCTTCGCCGGCCCCCGGGAGCCGCTGGAGGGCGCGGTGGAGATGTTGCAGTGTGCAAAGCTGGACCCGCACAGGCCCCCCTGGCGGGATTGGGACGAGCGTTTGCAGAACTGCGGAAACAAGCGAGAACAATAAAAGTTTGCAGCAGTTTACGGGTTTTCAGGAACACTGAAATGACAACAAATTATGTTAAAGATGTGTTGTTTTTTTTCACCGCCTGAGAAATGGAGTCCACTTACATGTTTACTTGATGCTGCAGAATCAAGCAAAACATTTGCATATGAACTCATCTCTCTGTCTGAAATCCTCAAATAAAGGCAGAAATGCCACACAATGAATCATTAGTAAATCTATGCGTTTAAGTCCTCACAGTGCAGTGGCATAAATCGGGATGAGAAAGAGTCATTTTGTACCAATATGTTGAAGCTTTCCCAGTGCTGTTAGTTGACATTCTTCCCTACTTTCAAACAATACATCGGTGTTGTTTTCTCCAGTCACTTCGGTGATGCATCTATACTTTAATACTGCGTTTTATTGCTCTTTTTATTGCTTTCCATCCCCTTTGAATCTCTTTCTCATCCGCAAGGATCCTTCCCTTGTCCCCCCTCGTTCCCTCCTCCCTTCTGGCCGCCGTCGTGACAGTGACATCTAAGTCAGTTTTGCCTCCCTCTCCGGAGGGACAAATATGCAACAAAACCAAACAGCTCTCTGTTCTGCGCCTCCCAATGGGATCGACGAGGCGGACTCGCCCAGCTGCGCAGCAGAAGGGATCTGCTGAACACGAGGAAACACAAGAACGTGTTTCAGGTCTGAAACAGATGAGGAGAGGAGGCTCCGGTTTGGTTTCTTATCAGCGACACAATTTGTGGTTCGCGTCATCTACTCTCCTCGGCCTTGTCTCGCCACCGTCTAGACATAATCCGTAACATAAGGCGGCGGGACGCACTCTCTTCTTGTTCTGCATGCCTTTACACAAGGTTCAGAGTATGAAGTCTCGCTAGAGAGGCCGTCACTAGTTTTTTAAAGGCCTCTTCAGGACGCTGGCCTCATTAGCATGAGAGTTGAAGGCCAATTTGTACTTATAAAACCATGAAGAAGTTCCCCTCCTATCTTGAAGTCAGGTTCATTAGGAGGAACGGCCGTGTGTCACGAGAATCCCTCCATGTTGCGCTGGCGAGGTTGACTTTGAAACCCTTTAAAGAAATTGGCTGCATTTGACGTTTCAGGGGCGCAGCAGCTTTCAAACTCGACGTCTTTGAGGAATGTGGCGGACGATGGCAGCTTTCACGCGGTGCAGGTGACACGGACGCTGAATATTAAGAAACACAGCGGATAATGTGAGCTTCGGTTATCGGGTATCTGGGTCAGATTAGCTTTGGTCCGACTGATAGTTAAATAAATCTTTACACATGTTTAAAGGTAAATTACTACACTATGGTTCAAGGCTGTTTGAGAGTATGTTGAGCATTAATCAGAGATCATGAATCATCCTTGACCCGTAGTTAACACAGTATAAGATGTTAATGACAGTAACTATACTGCTGCTACTTCTCCACATCCAATTTAGCTTCACACACTCGTTGGCTGCGATAAAACAGAAAGTAAAAGTGTGACACTATGCGCAGCCTCAAAGAGCTAGCATTATAAAAACGGAGAAGGATGGGTTTATGCTTGCATGTTAATTTATTCATGATAGCTGGAAGAATAATCACCCCTGTTAGCCCTAACAGAAGTTCACTGACTTAACAATGCTTTGTTTTGCAGTTAAAGCAGAAAAAGTCTTGTGTTTGTCTTCTTTATTTGTTGTATGTTAATGCCTGCCAGCTTAAAGAGGGAAGATGTGCCTCCAATAAATGCAAACGCTGTGTGGCTCAGCGTCCCTCTTGTTTCAGTTTAAAAATAAATACAGGCTTTAATGCAGAGGAAAACGCAGGCCGAGTGCATGTGTCATACAGCAATACGGAAGGTTTATGCAGGTCATCAATAGAAATGAGATGTTTTCTCACATCGCTGCAGGCAGAGAAACTCACTCTGAAGCTCCATGAACACACACAGACACAACGGTGCAGAAGTCATTACTTTGAAGGAAACTTTAAGTTTAATGTGGACTTTTGTGGCGCAAAAGGGGGAGCGCGTAATGACGTTCATTAATGTATTCATGTCTGTCCGCAGTAATGGATGTTTTAATCGGTGAGATAGGGACCAGCGTCCACCGTATGCCTCTGGGATTGTTGTAAACTGACAGATCACCCCGAAGCAACCGGGAGATCATTTTTTACGGTTTGTGCCGAGACGCCGGCATCAATAACAGCTTTTACAGCATTATAAACGCACACTCGCACATGCAGGTATGCACAAACACACCGCAGCACCAGATTAGCAGCCTTTCAGAGGGCCGAGCCGTCGGCAAGGACAGAGAAGCCTCCGCACAGGGAGGTGGAAGCTGACGGAGAGGAAAAGAGCACCAAACACAAAAGGTCAGAAAAGCTCATTTTGAATAACAGAACCAAAGTTCTGCTGTCTTTGTCATGAGCTGCCCGGTTATATACGATGTTTGTTCATTTACATAATATATGTGACATGTGGCTGTGTATTCCTGCGTTCAGATTTTATGCTAATTGTGTATGTGCGCTAATTTATGTGACAACGGAAATATTACAATAAGAGAAACAATTATTTGTCATTACCCGAAGGTTTAAAAAGCAACATGTTACCGGCACAGAGCGGCTTTGTTTTCTCCGTTGTACACACCGTAGTTAACAATAATCACTCATGTATTTGTCTGTGCTAATAGAGCAATTAGCAAAATAAGAGCCAAAGGCACACTTCTGTCATTAGCCGCGTTGCTCCTTGCGCCCGCGTTTAACGCTAACGAGACCCCGCTGTGCAGATGTGGCGTGCTGTTGTAGCCAAACTAATCCCAACCAAGCGGTTTAGTTCCACGCTTCACGTTCACGTTAATCCTGTTTAAAACTTTGGCCGTATTACAAACAAACGTATATGAGCATGTGATTAGTGGTGAGGGAGCGCAGCTTGTTGTAACGCTGATGCCGGTCAGATCCACTGTTAAAATACAGCCGGCGCTTTGTTCATCTGGGCACAAGAATGACTTCGCAAAAACATCTGGATTTGGTGAATAATGCAGAGTCATTGACGTGAAGTTGTCTAATTATAATGTAATTTAAGCCACAGACTCCCGCAGTCTGAACAAAATGACAGTCTTCTTAGAGAAACTAAAGGGGAACTTAATCAACTGGTTGATACGTGAAACCGTGTTTGAGTGATAGTTTAAAAGATTTAAAGTGAAGGAATAACAAATATGTATGTATTTTCAGTTCCAAAGACTCACGGAGGACATTAATCTGTAAAGGACGTTACGTCCTGAGTCAAAGTCAGACTCGAGCTGCCAAATCGAGGCCATTAGAAGGTCTCTGGAACCCCTCAAAAAACCTAAACGGATTTCTGCAGAACAGATATTGGAAAGTTGAAGTAAAGTGATAAAGTGCAGTGACCCATTTAAAGTTTGAACAGAGCTGCAAGCTGCAAGAAGAGCGGTAGGTTTGAACATTCCTCACATCGATGTTTAGCGTTAGAAAAGACGATTGAACAAAAGATTGAAGATCAGATTGACAATTAGTGATTGAGTTTCAACAAATGAAGGACGACTAATGAGAGTAAGGAGAATGTTTCACCGGTGACACACCTGAGGCCTCAGCCTCTACGTGAAGGTATGTGGTTCGGATTATAATAAAAGGCCCAAATCGGTCCCGTGGGCGTAACATGGGGAGGCCCCCTCCCCACCGGAGCGCCCGCCATGGAACCAACTCTAAATGTGTTTGAGACGGACCTGGTTAAGTCCTCAATCAGTCTCACCTCAAAAAGGCTTTTTTCCCCCTCAAACAAAACCGACTAAAACATGCTTCTAAATACTATTCATCATTATGCTTACAGTAAGATAAGAAAATCTACACCACATCGTGACATTTTTCAGAGGATGGTTATTTATCAACGTCGTAGTGTTTGAAATGCTCCTGGATCTTTTCCTTTCTGAATGAATACACAAAACTAGTGCTACGATTGAAAAAATATCATGTTTTGGGTCTCGGTTGCTCACAGGACACGAACCACGATGCACCAGGTTGAAAGTCCTGTTTTTGACTCATCCATGAACTTCAACCTCCTCCCCTGTGCAGATTTACGCAATGTTTTTATTGAACTTATTTGAGAGAGAATGTCAAAGACAAATGAATAACCCCTCAAGACGCGTGAATTGTAAACATCCATAGTTCATAGTTAAATGCAGGATACAAATGTGCTTCTCGCACACAGTGATTCATGATGTATGATAATGGATTTATGTCAGATTGAGAGTCCCTGGTGTGTTCAGGACAAGTGCTTTGCTTCATTGTGAATTCAAATCATGCCCTTGGAGAAAACATGGAAATCTTCTACTAACGCTTCATGTAAAACGTGTGTAAATTACATCAATGACTAACTGTATATGATCAACATGTAAAAAGCCCCAGTGTGGCACACACACACACACACACACACACACACACACACACTACCTCCGGGTAATATGTGGACTTGACTGGCACTCACATTAATGCAACAATTTCCATGCAGCTACTCCGAAAAGCACATCTGGAAAAGCTGTGATGACAGAGAGCGCCGGGGAGATGATGAATGACATCGCTGATCAGCTGACTACTGACAGGAAGACCACGCCAGGCGGAGGCCGGACTACGACCTGTTTCATAACCGGCTAAAAACCACACCGGGGGGGTTGGGAGGGGGACTCAATGATAAATCCTAATGCAACATGTGTACCGGGTCCATGCAACAGGCCGTTTGAATTGGTACCATTGTGTCAAAGGCATTAGATGTGGTGGATCACCCTGACTAAACCATCCAGGAGCAGTCGTTGGGCTTCAATAATTTGAAAGAAAATCGAGGTGGAAAAAGCGAAAACAGCTGCAGTTACCTCATGCATTTGCAGGTTGGCATTAGGGACCCTCATCTTGGCTTCCAGGGCATTCTGGGAATTAGCGGTGTAGTTTTTCAAACTGCGACTCTCCTTCAGGTGGGCCTGCAGCTTCTCCCTGCGCCTCCTGAAGAGAAAGAATTAAAAAGAACACGATCGTTCACACTCCTGCTCCCGCAAGTCGTGTCCCGGACATCTGCTGCCTGTAACGACAACCCAAAATCTACCAAGGTTGATTTTACCCACAGCTGCAGTCTCCTCCTGCACAACAACCGTAGTGCTTAAATCCCACAGAAGTGACCATTTCAAACTCCCCCTTCCAGAGAATCCACAGACCTCGAACAGCTCACAGTTGCAGAAGCATGAAGGTTCAATTATAGAACAAAGCCTTGCACTTTGATTTTTGACTCAATGAAACGTATGAACCACGTCTTTGCACCGTGTTAACAAAGACTTGCCACCTTTACCTCTTCTCGCCCGGAGCGCAATCTGCTTCTTTATTTGATGCTTCACCATGAAAACGGGTGGGCCCGCTGTTTATGATAGAGGCTTATGCTTCGACTTTTATGCAGCTCTATTCTCGTCACGGACCACGATTCCATGTTTGTGTTTTAATGAATTCAAACCGAGCGTTGCCTACTTGTAAATATTCCATAACTGTAATTTATTTGACGTAACAACGGCATCGCACCGGATGTGGCAGGCAGTTTTTGCACAAGCCTGGATTTAATTATTCTTTTCCGTAAATTGGGATTTTGCTTGTTCATGTCAGAAACACCAATAAACTATGTTTACACGGTTCTAGTGGCGTAGGCTGGTACACTCGGGACACTCTCTTTTGTCTTTTCCTGCTCGTTGGTATTCACAGATTTTTCACCTCCCCGGCTTTCCGAGTTCCCGGTGCACGTGTGTTTATTTCGGCATGTTTTTAAGACGTTGAATTCAGATGGCTTGGAGATGAATTGCTGATCCCCACGTGTGCAGGAGGGCCTTCCTCCGTCGGAGATCAAACGCCGCAGTGTAGTCTGGCTCAGTGTGAGAAAGCCTCTGACTTTATTTCTATTCAGGTCACTCACATTTGCATGAACACTTCCTGCCAATCTGTATGCATCTTCTCCCTTCAACAAGCCAGTTTCCTCGCTCCATTACGGATTCAATTTAAGGTGCCTGTCCATCACGCCTTTATCCGATTATCTTGTTGTCGGGCTGCTCGCTCACTCACATGATCATATTTCAGAGGGAAGCCAATGGAGATACTGTTACACACACCCAGAATGACATACTGGTGCTGTACCGGATGTTTGACGCGTCCTGTTGAGAAAACAACTATGCAAAGTTCATGCAGCCTTCCACATCCCAATTAATAAGCACAAGCAGGGCATGCACTGCAAACATATGCAGATTGACAGAGCAGGAGCCACATAGGATAACCTTTGGGTTATAATGGGCTATGAATATGTGTGAGCGCATAATGAGATTTACAAATTGTTGCAAATACCCCGTCTGGGATTTCGTTCAAGATGTTTGATGCCTCAACATGTCCTATCGTCCTTCACTAAATGAACAAAATGTCTCCTTGGGCATCTCGTCTGCCCACATCCAACTGGGCTCATTACCAAGCGCTCTAACATTTCGCTTACTTTGGCATTTGTGGCAGATTCCGTCGGTAAATGTTTGAAAGTTTTAAAATCACTGGAGCAACTTTCAGCTTCAATGACACGAATGAAAGCCGGCCTGAAACGACCTCTCAGTGCAGCTAATTTCACCGCCAACTTATTCATCAGAAAATCCCATATCTGAACTTTGTGCATGACTCGTAACCCAAATCCATTCAAGCGTTGGGCGGAAATGAGCGACAGTCGGCGAACGCCGTGTGTGTGCCGTGCTGCTTCTCACCACATCCTCCTTGGCAATTAACTTAGATTGTATAAAACCTGAGTGGTGTCATAGAGAACAGCACAACCTGTGTAACATATACAAACACAAGCAGTGTGTATCTGTGGGAATGTTGCTGCGTGTGTTTATCGGCCTCACTTGTTGCCGCAGTAGAGGGCCATGCACAGGCTTCCCAGCAGGCTGATCGCCATGGCGATGGACGTGATCGACAGCACCTGTCTCTTGTACACCTCTTTGCTCTCTGCGGGGGACACAAAACAGAGGGAAGGCGTCACGTTAATGTTTGAGCAACAAAGAAGCGTTTGCCCGATGAGGTCAAAGATCACGTCCACGTGTGTCAGGGAGGCAGCAGAAGAGAAAAGCATGAGCGTGTACAGATAGTCTGTTGAGAGACCATAATCAATGTTCCCAGCCAACAGGGTTAATGCTAAATTCATTTAAAACGACATTTCCCCACAACACAGTATTAAACACCTGTTCTGAGACTTGTACTTGTACCACTTTTAATTTTAATTTCTCACATCGTTGTTTATGGAACCCTAACAGCCATTTTCAAAGCATCAAACAGTCGGCGGCGGTGCATCGGCTTCCCGGGGGGGCTTTTCTTTTCTATCTGCCGTGCACATTCCCTTCTTAATTAGGGTAATTACTTCTGTGATAAATAAACCAAATCGAAACAAAATAACCACAACTCAGAAGCTATTTGCAACACGCAAACACTTCTCCAGCCTCCCTCTGCTCTTAGTTACCGCGCGGCCTTTCAGCTCAGTCCGTCGAGTAATAGTCCGACAGACGGGTTTGAAATGGATGCCGCATGTAATGGAGCTTGAATACATGGAGACAAGGAGAGTTATGGCAGACGGGCGCCATTAGTGGAGAAAAATGGAAGCTGTCTTGTTTGCCACGAACAACTGAATCATAGTTGCCTTCAGATACGTTAATAGGCGATCAATCAAGTTTTATTTAGCGAGGCTCAGACCTTGGAGGAGCACCGAGATGACACAAGGTGTTTTTTTTTTTTTTTTTACATTGACGTGATTAAGACAAATTTTTACTGCGCCCGGGTTTGAATGGCCGCTTCGGCGGAAAAAGATCAAGTTCTTCAAAGCTTCTTCGTCGGTGCTCGGGAAGCTCGGCGAATCCCCGCCAGGAGCCGACGGGCACGAACGGCCACCGCCTTGGTCTGCAGGCGCCGCACAACTGCCGCCACTCGCTCTCGCTCAAAACCGGCGGCAGGAACTCGAACCAGGGACGTCTGGACGCGAGCTCACCGCTGTAGCCTTTGAGCCACTGACGCCCATGGTTGGAGGAGGTTGAGGCTCTCTGCTCCCGGTGCAGACGGACGGAGCGGAGGGGGGGGGGGGGGGGGTGAGGACACATAAACAGGAGACATGAGGGGGGATGAGATGTGGCTGCAGGATGTTTTTGGAAATGTCCTTCCTGAACCAGATGTTGTGAAGTGTGTGTGTGTGAATGAAATTGTTGGTATTGGACTTTGCGTGTCGTGTGTGCCTGTATTATGTTAAAATCTAAGCTGACGGAGAAGCGGAGAGCACTACTTTTAAAGAGGACACTGGCAGTTTAATACTGCATTACGATACGAGTTGGCAGAAGGTCAAAATTCCAGCAGAAGATAAAGGGATGTCCTAAATTTCTCTAAAAATCACGTTATTAATCCGTCTTTCAAATGCCACGGCCGGGGCATTGAACTAAACAAGGGTAACGCAAGAACCCTCAGATCCCTTTATTCTGACACTACGTATGTATGAGAGTTGACCAATCGCATCCAAATATTTTTTTTACATTAATGTAATGCACTACAGTATAATCACTGTAATAAGTGTTCATTGGATGTTTTCAGTTTCACAATAACAGGCTGGTTATGAGTCACTGTCAGTGGTCATGGTTTACTCCAAGTTAAATAAATAAACACTTTGTGCAGTGCTTTAAACAGATAACGCATTATAAATACCTATCATGATATATTTGTGCGTCATAGAAATTGTCTTTTGGAATTGTTGTTTTTAAGTGCAATGTGCAAGAAAAAAGAAAGATTGGAGGCGAATGTTGATAAGACCAAAAAAAAACTTTAAAAAACTAATTGCAATGCATGTGGGATGACGTCTTCTTGCCCCGTCTGCAGAGCTGCTACGAATTAGACACACAGACATCCTCTCAAACAAAGAAGTTGCAAGAGTTCAAAAGTTCAGTTAATCGACTTTCATGTTACACGTTCCGTCTGCGGCCAATGGCGAACGCGCTGCCAAGGTCAAAGCAGTCCTTCGGCCTCCGTCCCACGTCCCTGTTTGGACGCAGAACCCCGCTCTCTGGATGTGAATAAATCGCACAGCTCAGGAGAGGGGAAGCATGCTGCCGTTCCCTCCGCGGAGTCACATCTTCTATTTATTCCTCTGCAAACCTCCAGTTCTGCCCCGCAGGTCGCCGGTTCGCAGCAACATTGCGAAACAATGGCATTAATATTTTAAACTAAAAGCGGCGTTCCAGCGGTGTTGCTGTGACCTTTTTTCGAATGCATTTGTGATCCTGTACATCCAGAATGTGTTTGCAGCTGCCGTGTTTGTACGCAGGTGAGCCGGCTGGAGGGAGAGAAATCAATAAGTGATGGAGCAGGTGCTGAAATAGACTCGCTAATAAAGATGAAAGCGTGTATCGGCCTTAGCGTGATATTTATGACTCATATTGCTTGATAGACAACCTGGAGGCACACAGGGTAGTTCTTGCTGACGTGCTGACGCAACACACAGGTCTTTTCTTGAACATGTCAAAGCCATGTATCTCTGATAAATAACAATAGTGAATCTCTCTTTCTGACAAGAGCGCCGCAGTCATCCTTCTGTCGGGTCGTGTTAAAGTTAAAGGTAAAGTTTCGAGTGAAAGGCACCGTGCAGACATTTGGGTTTTTTATTTGCTCAGCTTTTAAAACATCTTCATCTGCCGGATTTCTGCCGACACAGCAATTCAATGGAAGAGAGAGAATTTTGTTTGGTCAACGACCTAAAAAACAATATCAAGGTCAGCCGGGACAACTGTGGACCTCACAACGCGAATACAGTCATCTTAAGCTTAATTGGATCGCTATGAATACAACATAAATACATGGATCATCAGCGGAAACCACAGGAAAACCTAAAAAGATCTTCAATTTGCCAGTAAACAAATATGTTGTGTTTCTGTAACAGATGGATCGTTTAAAAAAAGATCTATATTTTATATATATATGTTGATTGTTGGAATGGCCTGAGTCTGATGGCTTGTTATTAATTGCACGTTTTATGTCTAAATCACTATTATTGTCCAACACCAGCGGATTCCCACTGAAGACCAAAGCCTCATGCTGGTCTTTTTTCTGCTCAGGGGCTGAAGAGTAATAGGTGGTGACAACACGCACACAGATACACACACATCGACACAAACACAAAGCACTAAAGCCTGGCGACCGGCTGATTTAGCTCATTGGTGTCAGAGCTCGTGACCTCTGACCCTGTTGAGCTGAGGCTCACAGTCTAACGTCGGCCATCAGGCTTGGAAACGCATCAAACATATTCCCTTTTTTTTGCTGTGCCGTGTTTGTGAGTCGCTGCAGGACTTGCGTTAAATGTTTTGGACATATGGACGAGTCCGACAGCTGGCGGCGCCAACGCGGAAATGTCTGTTGCATATATTAGGTTACGGTTTATTAAATTGTGTCGCATTTGTACAATCATGAATTAAACTGTGGCCTCTGGTGTGAGGGCAGTAAAAAGTAATGTCTACTGGCAGCACATTGGAATTGGTTCAACGATGAAGTGGTGGCAGAAATTGGATGAATGATGGTGAAAGGACTGAATGCTTTTGGCTGCATGCTACACAAACAAACCTTCACCGCGGCATACGTGCTGCCGATGGTTAGGACCGTAATCACGGATGGGATTTCAGATCGATAAGGAATCAAGTTCTGTTACAATGAGCCGCCTGCAGACTGATGAAGTATCACCAACCCGAGGCGAGCTCGCTGCTGCATGAGCATCAAATGTGCAGAAAAACACAGCAGTTATAACAAGCGGTAAAGCTCATTTCCACCAGGAGCGATAATTACATGTGCAGTTAAATTCGTAATTAGTAACCTTTAAACGTTGCACACCTCCATGACTGTCATTTTTGATTATGATGTCCTGTGAACTTCTCACTTTTCATTTGCTTTCCTTCAAATGTCCCTTAAAATTAGTACATTTTCCTCTAATTTCATACATTCAGTTATTTAAAGATAAAGGTTTAGGATCAGAGGTTTAGGAAACAGATCTTCTTGGTTGAGTTCATGGACAGATTGTTTTTTTTGGTTAAAACAGCTCTAATGAATCAAGTTAATGAAGTAAACAAGTGACATGACAAGTAAATCAATGTTGACTTCTCGTTTCCCAAAGGGGGAAAAGATTGGATTTTGTAGATGTTTTTTCCATCTCATCGGTCCTGGTTTATCATTTGAGAATTTCGTGTGATATGTACAGATCACACGTCATCGTTTATCTCAGTTATTGCTGCGAACGAGATGAAATCAGCCTGCTGGCAAAGACAAGAGAAAGAGAAAAAACATGAATCTCCAGAGACAAACAAACCTTAAAGTTGTAGTGATTTAGTCTCATTATGCAGAACTACTTTCTTCTTTTGTGCTCTTTTTTGAATAATACAAGTTTTCCTCGTGACTGTATATCAGTGCCAAGCGCCGCCGGGTTGGACAGAGACGGATGAAAGAGGAGGATGACAGAATGTGCGAGGGGCACGATTCTCCAGCGATGAGCGTTTTGCAGATGAGGCAGGAAACCCGTATTCACGCAGGTCCACCTCGGCTGCTCCCGGCCGTCTGCTTTGTGACCCGGGCGGCATCATTCACCTGTTGCCACACTGAATACGCTGCAGAGAGATTCTGTGTTCCACCCGTAGCAGGCTCAGAGCGCTGCCGCGTGGCCTCCTGGGGTTCGCTACTCGTCCCAGGTGCATTAAGCTGAATCAAAACTCAGCAAAGGGGGGACGGGTGTTGTCAAATCTAGAGCAATGCCCCGAAGAGCAAAAAGTAATTCATGCATTGCAAACTCCATTCATGTTTGCTCTAGTTTCCAAACTGCCTCCATCCGGCACAATCACACCTTGCACCCCGCGGGTGGAAATTGAAAATCAACACAACGTAAACCCTCCTCCTGCAACACTTTGGTCTCACATTGATTTACGGTCATGTTGGAACATCTCGGAGTCGGAGCTCAGTGATGAAAGAACATATTGATGGCCACATCACTGAAGACCTCTCTTTTACAGGAGATGCATAAAAAGGTAGACGGGATCCAATCAATCTGGACCATATGCTCTTTTTTAACATCTGACCTTGCTAAAAAAGGCCTGGGTGGAGAGATCTTGATCTTCAGACACTTTTTTTTTCAGTGTTTTTCAGTTCACACAGGTTACAAGTTGCTTCTGGGAAATAACTCCCATAGGATTAGACTTTTTTGTTTAGAGCCAATATGTAAATAGTTGTGCACATACACACATCTGTGTCTTTGTATCTCGGTCTATTGAAATAAAGTGTGGCGTTCCTGCCATTAAGAGAGTGAACCAATGCATGTTCACACAAAGGGTTTGGTGATATCTTACCAAAAGCAAACAGCAACACGCGTCAATTCAACGTGTGTCTTGACAGGAAACAACTCCGGTGATACAACAACTAGATCAATGTGCCCTGGGTGGGACCTCCGTGTCTTTCGGAGTGGGATGCTGCAGTTTTTACGCCTCCCATTTCCTGATTACGTGGACAACATCCGCAATGATTTAGAAACCAATGGAGCAGCTCATCGGTTTAGGCAGAACACCCGCAACAGCTTTATCGACACTTAACCATCAGCTGCTCATTTATCAGCTGATTGGCTGCCATCTGACTAATCTTCACAGAGGCGGAGTTGGTGGACTTGATTTCTGCCTACTGATGTGTTTATTAAAGGAGGATTTGTTCCCCCAGCAGAGTCCTTGTTCCTGCCTGGAGTTTTTTCGGTGGACTTTTTTACAGTATGCATTGACTCAATTCTATTGTGTATTGCCATACATACATATATATATATATTTTTGTTCTTAGCTTGCAAAGCCACAGACGCTGACAGGCCCGGCTTGTGGGAGGTGCTTATCTATCTGCACGCAGGATAGCACAACTAGACGTTGGCAGCGCTGGAGATGTTAGCCAAGAAAAGGTGTCAGCCTGAACAATGTTGCAGAGGCAAAATACCTCACTGAATATAAATGGGGGGAGAAAAAACTGCAAGATAGCTGTGTGGAAAGGATCATCTGTCACTGCCAAGTTTGCATAGTCTCAGCAAGTTTTCATGAAAAAAAAAAAGAATGCTTTTGTTTTTTCTGCTGCAAACGCAGAAGAGGAAAAAAGAAGCACGTCACGGCTTGGGCAGGTGACGTTTTTTTTACGTTTTAATTACATTTACTTTGAGAACGTAGAAGCAATCACGTCAAACCAGTGAGAGGCCATTTTCACAGATAATCGTCGGCTCCCTCCAAAAGCGTCCATGTGTGAAAGGGCCCAGATTGGACCGAGCGAGAGCACGGAGGCGCTCGAGCTGACGACAAGCCTCGCCGTGTCGTTAACCAGCTCTCCTCGGGCAGCGGCGCCCCGACACGGAGCCGGCCAGGAGCAGCGACGAGGAGGAGCCCGCTGGCGAAGCCTGGCTGGGCGCGCCGGATGCACGGCGCCCGACGCGCAATCGCTGCAAGAACGTCAAAAAGGGGCAATGCCAAGGACTCGGGGGGGAAAACGCACGTTTTTAGCACGTGCCACGCAGGCGCGCTAATGAGGAGAACGTTCGGGGACAGGGCTAACGTCGCTCACTGCACTCCGCCCGCCTCTCTGTTCCTCGCTGTTTCCCAAGGAGACTGCATCACGTTGGAACTCCGGAGGGGAGGGAAAAGGAAGGGAGAAGGAGAAAGGGAAGCACAGAGATGGCGACGGTGCAGAAAAGAGTGATGCGCAATTACACACGCGCACAGAGGGGGATGAAGAGGGTGAGTTCAAAGCCAACACGCGAATGTTTGTGTCCACCCGAGGCCTCCGTCGGACGGTGACGTACGTAAGCATCAAACGGAGCGGCGCCGATCCGACAGGAAGACATGTGACACTCGTGACTCATGCAGGCGAGAGACAAGAAAAGCTTCCTTACCCATAAACTCGATGCCCAGGTGATCTGTTGTTTCCGGCAGGAGGGGAGAGAGAGAGAGAGAGAGAGAGAGAGAGAGAGAGATAAAAAAGTTATTTTCAAGAATAGTGTGCGTTTGCATTGTTGTCATAGAGCCACATCATCACTTGCTTGTCTTTCATGTGAGCTGCTGCATGTGTGTTTTATCCGCTGTCACACGGAGTCAGAAGGCACATGCTACTAATGTTACAAGAAATGAGACAAATACACACACACACACACACACGCACTCGCAGAGGCACACACGTCCCGCGCTCTATTTGATAGGAACTCCAGTATTAATATTAATTTCCTAAAACAAACCTGCACACTCGGCTCTTGTCTCAGAGAGCACAAAACATTGTAATAAAAGTCTGATGACATTTTCGGGGGATTGATTGTTGTCAGTCGGATCAAATCAAAACACACAGTCCGGATGTCTCGAGTAACTCTCAACATCATAATACCAAAAAAGGCTTTTAGAAAACGATTTAAAAAGGGAAATAAAAACCTTATTGTTGTCAGTTCTGGGGAACACGCCTCTGTTGAAAGAAAACTCCAACAAATGAATATTTGACCAATGTTGTGCCAAAATCCTCTCTCAAGTTTCAAATTGATTTCCATTATATATGTTTAATATGTTCATTAGTTATGTATTTCCTGACTGAAATGCTGAAAACTGACTAAGGGAAATTTGTCATTGTTGTTTCGTCACTTTAAATCAGCATCTGGAGAAAAGAAGAACCACCACTGAAACAAGTTGACTCCTATTTATCTTTGAAGAGCGGCAGCTTAAAAACGTGATCATTAGCACAAAGTGACTCGCTGGGAAGAAGCTCCCTTCGGCCCTTAAGGACTACAAATATAACTCCTACTGACTTCCACAAAATAATCCAGAGGAAGTGCCGATGTGCGTAGTGTCACCGACGGCTTTTACAGCGCTGACAGTGACTTTATCTCCTGAGCGGCGCTGCCCTACATCGTGGAGGGTGAGCTCGTCCTTCTAAAGCCAAAAGCTCCGTCCAATCTGCCCCCAATCTTATCTGGCAGTGTTCGCCTGGATGTAAGCGGATCACTTCTCACTTCAGCGACGACCCGGAGACCTTTTCTCCTCCTGCCTTCTTGATTTCTCCCCTCACAAACACCAGCGATGTGGGACGGGAGGCGACGGACAGCATACACATTCCTCTCACGTGAACGATTTTTTGGGGGAAAATCTAAATTCTGCTTTTTTACAAATATTAATCAAAGAACAACAGAATAAAGTAAATTGGGGCCGCTGTGTTTTATACATACCTAATTTGATAAGTTGTTTTTATAATAACAGCGCAAGCACATGTGCACATTCGTGTTGCCTCGGCGACCTCGTTGACCTCAGAAGAGCCAAAAGAAAAATGACAGCGTTATCTGTCTTTTGAAACTCTGCACTTTTACAGCCCTTTGGGCAGAGCTATAAGTGCTGCTATACTGCAAGAGTTAGAAACTCAATTTCCCATGGAGCTCAACGAGTAGAGCCCAGCACTAAAGCTGCCAAGGTTAGGAATTCCATTTTCTATGTAGGTTGGTGGTTAGAACATATATCAGCACCAGACTGTCAGGATATGAGCTCCAGCTCCCATTGGGGCCACCCATACTCAAGATGTATGCACTCCTGCTGTAAACCACTTCAGACGGAGGGGCCCACCAAGTGTCATGTGCTTAATATCCCCTCTGGAAACCGATGGCCCTTCAATCACGAGGTTGGGGGAAAAGAACCCCCCTAAGGATGGCACATCCGAATACAAAGATCCGGCTGCAAACCATCAAAGTTGGGAGTTACATTCTCACAAGAAATATATGACGAGCTGAAGCCCAATTGTTGAGGTGAAAGGAATCAGCATCAGCGTTTGTCTGAAGAAGTATTTGGACCCTTTACTTATGTACAAGTACAGTATGGAAAAGTCCTGCATTTAAAGGCTCAAACCCATTTCATAAAAAAAAGGAGGAGATGTTGTGCTTTCCGAAGGCACTAAACATACCATGCATCATCTCGATTTGGGGCAAAATTAGCATAAATGATGCACTACGGATTGAGAATGCCTCCGTTTGATGAACTGGTGCAATCACTAAAACAGTCTTAAGTCTTGCATTTAAATGTCTCCCTTTGAGAGAACATCATGACAAAGTAGCTGCAATCAAGCTGGAACATACGTGACTCTCTCAAACCGAACGGCGAAGAAGTAAGTTCTAAACAAGCGTTTTTAAATCATTACGCGATGCTCCCTCTCTCTCTCGCTGCTCGGAACCGCTCACCCCTCAATGGCTGCAGGAACGTGAAAAAGAGTTCGGCTGTAATGTCGTATATAGAGCAGCAAAAGTCAACTGTGTGCATAAGATTAGAGAAGATTTGAAGAATGTTTCTATAAATACGTGAAGGACATTCCCGTATATATATAGATATTCTTTGTTTTACAGTGAGAAGCATTTGCTTGGAAATAGAAAGTTTGATATTGTAGGTGGTGGAGCTGATTTGAACTACTTGAAATAATGTTGGGTTGTTCAATTCATCACACGGTAATACAGAATATCATTACAGGTAGGAAGGACAGAACAGAAGCACGTTTTCTAACGAGTCAAAGTATTCACGCTGATTTCCATGTTTCGTGTTCAAGTGCGACCAAAGCCGTCGCCGCATTTGTGATTATGTTTCACGACGGCCGGATCTGTTGAAGGAACGTAATCATGTAAATGTAATGCATTCCAGTCCGAAACCTCTCTTCCTCCTCATCTTCAACGACGGCCCTGAGTGGACGTGGTGTGCAGCGACGAAGGCATCCGACGTGGCAGATTACGTGGAAGTAGAAACGCTGTGTGTGCATGAGCTGGATATGTGTGTGTGTGTGTGACGCGTTCTCCCTTCGGACTTGAGCCTCCCCGTCTTCCCGGGTCCAGAACTTTGAATCGGCCCTCTGCATCGAGCCCAAGATGGACCAGGCGACCTCACAGCGGAGGATCGATTAGCTGGCCTCCGATGGCTGATTTGAAGACTAGACGCATTTTACAACGCTACTGCACGTTTTTCAACTTTGCCTTGAGTGAATAATAATGAACTAGAAGGGGAGGGGGGTCGGAGGGGGGGCACACAATGGTGCATCACATGACCGAATGTGCTTCTTTCTATTCATTGGAGCCAACGTCTGGAGTGATCAAGGTGATCAAGGTTCAGTGAAAGTCTGACATTGAGTTCTTTTATTTCAAAGCTTGAGGTAACTCGGGGGGGGGGCATGCGAACACCATCTCTCCCTCCCGCCTCTCGCAGACAGCTCGCCGTCCATTCTTGTCTCGTAAAGGCCGTGGCCGTGGTTTGGGCCATTTCTAATATGAACGAGATGACAGCTTGTCGGTAGCTTGTGAATAGTCGTGAAAAACTCTGAATTAAACCTTTCAGACAACGGCGGTCATCAGCACCAGTGATCGTCGTTTTGATTGACGCCACCAATCGATGTCGTATCAATAAGAAAAATGTCAGCTTCAATCGCTGATTATGTTTCTGTGGCTCCTTTAATCACAGCCTCGGGACATTCTGCTATAGTCGCTTCTACATGTCAGTCTGTTTACAGAGATTAAGTGTCATACATTCAAGTTCCCAGACAATATCGACTTTTTAAACAGCAAAAATAATAAATATATCTATCATGTACATAACGTTGCAAAGAAAAAACACAGTCTTCTGTGTCAAACTTTACTCTTTAAAGTCAATTGAATTTCCAAAACTTACAACATGTGAGCAAACGTGATACCTTATCAAACTTTGAAGTTAAAGCATTTAAATATGTAAGAATTATGCATCTATAGATTGTATCTCACCTTGTTGCTTATTACTTTAGTTACATTAAGTGATTATGCTTCATCTTGGTTGCCCTGCAGCTCAATTTGACATTTTGCGTGCTGCTCTTAATCCGATGTTTCTTTTTTGCACATTCTCTTGTTTTCCTGCCGTTTAATACGGATGATGTTGGCGTTTCTGTGGAAACAAGCTTCATCTCTTTTGCATCCCTCTGCCCAGTGAAACAGGAATCATCCCACGGAAGAGGGAGCGACTGCAGCGTGTTCTCACAAAGAGGATCTGCTGCCTGCCATTTCCAATTAGCGCCCGGCACTCTTTGGAGAGCTGCAAAATAGATGGATGTTTTGACAGATGGCGGATCAGAAGGAGCGGAGGGGAAACCAAATGATCACACGGCATTGTCCGCTGTTTCAGCCTAGATGGAATTTCATATGGAGAATGAAGTTTTTCTTCTGCTCTAACTATTCTGATCGCAGACGGTTAATGACAAGTGAACTTAACGTAAATGTGACTGTGGTGTAATTTTAGTAAGTCGAAGATGAAAAAACTTCAAGTGGCTTATTATGATGCACTGAGAATTGTGCTTAAATTCCCTGGGTGGAAAAGTGCCAGTGAAATGTTTGTGTCCAGTAAAGTGCCCACTTTTAAAGCTAAAAAAAAAGAAATGTTTTTTTTTTTATGTGTATGTATTCTCTATGGACCTCTGTGTCTGGAATAAAGTTGATTGAATAACCACCAACAAGAACTTTTTAATGTTACCATTGTCAAAACCAGCAGTGTTTTATCCTAATTTTATCTGAAAGATATTTCTCATACAGCCGTAACTGCTTTGTCCAAAACATTTGACAGGCTTCATCAGCTCAGAAAATAATAGCAATCAGCCCAAAAAGTAATTGGGTCCTGGTTCAAATTTCTCTCCTACACGTCCAGACCTCTGCTAGAAAGAAAGGCGCCCCCTGTAGCGCGCTACAGTCTGGCATGTTAATGCTTGTGTGGGTGTGAGCGTAAATATGTGTTCAATAAACCCACAAACTATCAATTTGCCGAATGCCCCTCGCTCTCTTTGTTGAATTTGAATGGCATCTTTCACTGACCCCTTTCATCATTTCATCATTTGTTCTCCCTGCCTTGTGTTTTCCAACTTTCCTTTTTTTTTCCCCCCGCCTGCAGTAGTTGCCATGGC